ATATATATATATATAGGCATTACATTAGGCACATAATTCTCCGACAGCCATTTGCAAATTTTACAATGCAAAACATGGACGACATCTTCTTCACCTGTGACCGAGGATGTCCGTGGTAGAATTTTCAATTCGGAAGAGCCAGATGACATGTTGCGTTTCTCTGGACTGCTGGAGATGGTATCTTCCTTTTCATTTTTGTTCCACTTCGAAAGTTTCTTAAATCTTTTCGACTTCTCTGGGATTAAATTCTGAAATTGTTTCGTAACTTCTTAATTCTTCCTGCCTTTTCGAACTGATAGCCTTCAGAGTATGCTCTTGCATTTTATTAGACTCCTAAAGCATTAGTGCCAAATAATACTTTTTATTTCACAAGATGAAAAATTGAGGGCTAGCGTAAGGAAACTTTGGGGGCTCGGGTGATATAATTCGCATATTTATAAAATTCAGAGAGTTCAAACTAAATGAGATCTACACCGTTCTTTTAAGCATGATATCTGTTATATTCTTGGAAAAAGTGTGAAGAAAAAATTTGGAGCGGCTTTTGAGAAAAAGGTGTTTTTTTTATTTTGCATTAACTTCAAGCAGATATTATTAAACTGCTCTTTTTCTAGTAATTCTAAAAATTGTGTTACATGACTTTCTTTTAAATCTGATTTTTTGAACAGATTTTATTTAAAACAAAAAAATATTAATGTTCTTTTGCGATGTTAACTTTTTGCAACTTTCAAAAATTCAGAGAGTTCACCGAAAGTGTGTCTTTTACACTGTCCATGGTTAATGCGAGGAGAAAATTTAAATTAAAAATCTGGAGCCGTTTTTTGAAAAAGAGCTGTTTAAAAATGGTCTCTATTTGATGGAAATGACAAAAAAACTACTCAGATATTCGAAAAATTGTACGTGTTTATTTTGCCAAGATATGTCTTTAAAGAGCAGATTTCATTAAGAAATCGAATCTCTAGAGACAAAGAACAAAGTTTCATTAAATGTTTTGGAGCCATTTTCGATACAATTTTGAAAATATTATTAAGGCTTCATGTAAATTACCTCTAAAAATGAAAATATCTTTTTCAAACTCGCTGGTTCTCGAATTTCTTTAAACCGATCAAGGAATATCTATTTGGAGAAAATCGACTCAACGGTTTAGGCGTTAGCGTTTACCATAATCAGATAGACAAGACGTTTTGCCATCAATCGATTTTTAGGTATCAGGCACCCCACGAAACATAGATTCTGACTACACAAAGTGTTAGAAGAAGTATATATAAACAAGATTTATCCACTTTTTCGTTACTAGGTTCCGGCAATAAGAGTTTTTCTGTCGACAATTCACCTTTTTGGCACACCATTCTTACAAGGTAGGGGTGAGAAAGTAAAATAGGCGGAAATGAGGCATTTTTGTTTAACTCTTTGAATTTTCGAAAATTGCAGCAACAAAATTTAAAAATGCGAGAAAGTATGTTCTGCTATATCTCTACTAGTTTGGATGCGTCGATTTTTCTTAGGAGTTCAACTAGTAGTATGGGTTTACGCCCCCATATAAATATTGTAATATGACTTACATGAAGGCCCGCGGTGGCTCGTTGTTCGCTTCCCACGCCACCCCGGGTTCGATTCCCGCGTTCGATTCCCGGCCGGGGCAAAATTATCACTGTGCGCTTTCCTTACAAATGTCCCAGTATCTGTTGCAGTGAGGCGAAGAGAAAACCCACCCTAAGGTTATGAAGACCAGTACATATTTCGATGGAGGGATATCTTTGTGCTAACCACACGAACCCCTTATCCTATGGCCGAGAGGCGGTCACCGCTGGTCGGCCAAGGCCCATAGCAGGCTGTCGATCCCAAGGACAAGAGTTACATGTGCTGCTAATAAATTCATTGAAAATGTAGTCTGAGTTTAGATTTTATAAATATCCTGCAATTCGAGAACATTATGATTGAAATGTCAGACACTTGTCATATGATCATTTAAGTCTGGATTGTCTTTCATATTATCTGTAACCTGAAACACTTATACGTCTCACGATGTCCAATGATACTCGATACTTGTTTCGAATGTAATACTCGTATTTGATTTACAGTTTGCTACGCGCTGTATGCTTTTCAGAGTACTTGTTCTATTGAATTATGACGGATTTCTTTAATGAAAAAATATATTTCCCTATATGTCAAAGTACCAAAATGTAGCAGCTTCGGTGGCTCAGGGCATCACTTGATGCCACTGCAGTGTCTCTGACCGGGCGGTCTTAGGGTTCAAGTCCGGACGGCGACTAGAGTTTTTGACACTAGCTAGATAGCTACAGTGCCAGCAGCTAATAAGCGACTCTGACAGTTCTCTCACCACGTAGTGTGGTACGTCATGTGACCTGCTCTGAAGCGAATCAGCTTGCGAGGATTTGTTTACTTTTTCACAGCCAGGGTTCAGTGTTGCCGCTCATC